CCTAGTACACTTACAAAGCAAACAAAGCAACTTACAAAATTAGAAACTCTATAGAGTCAAATACTGAGAACCATGAATGGAACAAAGCACACGGAAGGGACTTCTCCACTGCCTCGTCCCCATTTCCCTGTGTTCCTCTTCCCAGCGCCTCTCTGCTGGGATAAGTTACCCTCCTGAAGGGCTGCTCATGGAGGAAAGAATCTTTAGTTATTTCTTTATTTATGCCAGCCTTCCCCAAGTGGGCGCCCTCCAGATGTGTTGGACTACAACTCCCTTCATTTTCAGTTAAACCTGTTACAAGTAAAGTTGAATAGAAATGGCCTTACTGCCTTCCTAAAAGCCATCTGGGATGTGCTGAGTGTAATTTCCATGAAACTGCCACAATAAACATTGTCCTATGTTCTCACTAACAAATGCCATATGATGGGGCCCTAGAAGATGGCCATAACCTTTGGGCAGATTCTTACAGGAAAAGGAAAACTAATTCTATCTCTAAGATGATCAAGGTTTTATACAAAAGCATCAGCACCTTGAATTGCAACAAACCAAAAGTTGGAGCAACGGATGAGACTAAATGGATACAGTCAGAGAAACCTACACCAGAAAAGGAATTGGGCTGCCACATTTTGCACCAGCAAGTTTCCAAACACTCTTCAAGGGCAGCATCATGTAGGATTCACATAAAACAACCACCCTCGCTCAAGATTATGTGTAGGTTGGGTGTGCATTGTTGTGTTGTGTGAAGGCAAGCATGCTAACAAACCATGGCCAATTAACTAAAAGCAACCCACAGTTCATAGCCCAACAACAAATCATAGGTTTGGTTCATGGGTTATTTTTAATTAATGAGCCATGGTTTATTAGCATGGCTAGTTTCACACACTACAGCAAAGCACTGTTCAGTGACAACACACAATGAACCTTGAATGTGAGTTCAGAAGTTTGTAAACTCACAAGACAAAAACAGCCCATGGTGGATCAGGCCAACAGTCCATCTAATCCAGCATTCTCTTCATACAGTAGCCAATCATCTGCCCACAGGAAACCCACAAGATCAACATGGGTGTGGCATCACTTTTTCATCCTAGTTGCCGGCAACTGGTGAACATAGGCATACAGCCTCTGATACTGGAGGCAACATATAGCAATGAAGACCAGCAGCCATTAATAGCTTAATCCTCTGTGAATCTAATTCCCTTTTAAAGCCATCCCTATCAATAGGCATCACTACATCTTGTGGCAATGAATTCCACAGTTCAACTATGCATTTTTATCTGCCCTGGATCTTCCACTAATCAGTTACCTGGATGACTCTGGGTTCAAATTCTATGAGAAAGGGAGAAAAAATGTTTCCCTATCGACTTTTTCTGCATCCTGCATAATTTAGTACTCCTCTCTCATGTTTCTTGTCTTTTTTCTAAGTTAAACAAAGTCAGCTGTTGTAACCTTTGAAGCCAATTTTGAAAAAGGGATGGAGTAGGGATTCAGAAAATTCCAAGTTACTTTATTGTCTCTTCTGGGAAAATTAGTAGAAAGTGTTATTCAAGGTAAAATTATCAAGCATATTGAAAAAGTATCAACATGGCTTCTGCAGAGAAGTTTTGTCTCATTAACTTTTTAGAGTGCTTTTGAGAGTATTAAGAATCATGTGGATAGGGGTGATCTAGCAGACTTTGTGTACTTTGATCTTCCATAAAGCATTGACCAAGTTCCTCCCTGAAAGCTAACTAACTTAGAAGTCACGGGAAATGACAAAATGTCCTCTTGTACATTACTAGCTGGTTAATGTTTAACTATCTTGTAAGCTGTCCTGAGACGCTGTTAAGGATGGGATAAAAATACTGTAAATAAATAAATATAAACAAATAATGTGCACAAAGCAGAGCTGAAGAATAGAGTCAGGTCTCACAGTGAAGGAGTATGATATCCCAAGGATCTGCATTAGGAGCAGCACTTTTTAATTGCATCAGTTAAAGATCTTGGAGCTAAGGATGAAAAGCAAAGTGGGAATGTTTGTAGACAGTACCAAATTATTCAGGATGGGAAAGAAGTGGGAACGACTTGCAAGGAGCTCAACAATTATAGTTATCTGTTCAAACTGATGGGATGTTAGAATAGACCAGGGGTTCTCAAACTTTTCCAACAGAGGCCAGTTGAAAGGTGCCCACAGTGGGCGCGGGCTGCCACAGTGGTGCCAGTGGGGGGGGGGGGGGGGCTGGGGTGTGCGTGCATGGCAAGGCTGGGGCGGGGGGCGTGAGGTGAGGCAGCTGCTTGCTCGAGCGGAGATCGTTTTCTCCAGGCGAGTCCAAACCTTGCTTGCGAGATTGTTTTTTCCAAGCAAACTCAAACCGATCACCCCGTGAACAAGCTGCTTCCGGGCACGCACATGGCGAGGTGCCAGCTTGCTCGCAAGGAGATCGTTTCTCTGAGAGAATCCAAATCGATCTCCGCGCGAGCAAGAAACATGCCTGCACGCGGGGCGAGTGCAAAACCTCTGGGGCGGGCTGGTTAAATGGGCATGGTGGGCTGGATCTGGCCTGCGGGCCATAGTTTGAGGACCCATGGAATAGACAATCGGCAACAAAATTTCAGATGCTACAAAACTTGAAATTTGCTGAAGGGCTGAAAGTTGTTCTTCAGCTCTAGCACTATAAGTGGCCAGAAACTAATCAGAAGTGGTCTGGTCATCGTCATATTCAAGAATTCATAATATTAATCCTGTGTAACATCAAAATCAGTGTGCTCTTATCTGTGTCAGTGTTTGCAGAGGAAAACACTCTGAAGTAAAGTTACTCCAATCTATTAGATTTGACCTTGACAAAGAATGAATCTGGCAGCCTTTTTGTAAGAACCTAGTAGAAGAAAGGTTATTTTGGAGGTGTCACACAGTTGAAGTATCCAGCCAGTTTTGAAAAGAGATGCCCCATTTGTTCAGGGCCTTGTTGATGGGCTAAAATCTTTTATCAGTTAGTTATTTAGGAAGAGAGCTATCAGAACCACACATTTGCTTTTAAGCTGATGCCTAGTCTAGGAGCCTTTGCTAGGAACATTCTCATATTTACTTCTTCATATCATTTCTGAGGCATCTGAACCTCGTGAGGCATTCTTCACTTGGGGTTCCACCAAGTCTGGACCTTTCTCTCCATAAACTTTGTATTGTTAACAACCTGTCATGAAAAGTACTGCTATACTTTTCAAAGACATGGAATACTTTTTTGCTATGTGTTATGCATCTTCAGCATTGAGCCAAGACGCAAACTGGCTTGCAGTGATTTCAACTCTTGAGCTTTTCTATGACTAGACCCTTGTAGTGTGGAAATATTAATCTGCATGTGTGAGGTTACTATAGATTTATTCTGGAACCTCTTGGATCTGATAGGTCTTGACTCATGTCGTACAAAGGTTCAAATGAACTCAAGGTTGATCTACATCTCTGCATGTGTGGATTGGTTTAGTTTTCCCTAGAACCCTTGCCTTTGACTACCAAGGACAGCTTACATGAGGAATCTTTCAAGTCCCTCCCCTGTCTGCTTTCTGTTCCATAGATGATTACAAGGGAAAACCAAGTTCCATGGATCTCTGAAATCACTACAGTTTTCAGCTTTGGATTGTTTTTGATCCACTCATGGAGCCTATGACTATTTGTTGTCAACTCTATGATTTCTAAAGAATTATGTAACCAACAAGTGTTTGCTGTGAGATCTGCTTCAGTAAGAGTCTCATTGATTTGGGATGTCCTTGTGGATCCTGCAACAGTGTGTAAGATTGGCCTTATGACACTTTGCTGTGAAAAGTGCTGTGCACAGAAAATATGTAAGCCATCTCCTGCAAACTGTCACAGAGCAAGTGTCAGCCAGGAGTCAGGGTGACCATGTTGAGTTCTACAGGATAGGCCTAGCTAGTATGTTCTCAGAAGCTCCTTCACATATATGGTACCCACAGTGGCCAAGTAACTGAAGAGGACTATGAGAGCACTATCTAATGAGAAGCAAGCAGCTGCCCTTCATTTACTTGATTCTTTGCATTTTTCTTTGGCAGGTGACTGCATGGAAGTCGAACCTACCAAGTTCTTGCCAAGCAGCATATTCCCCCCCACACCCATATTTCAGAATTCATGCATTTTTATGCTACTAAAGGATCAAATAAAACATTTCTGCTTCTTGAGGCTAAGGAAGGTCACTGCTCACTCAGAAGTGAGTCCACTGTTTATCTTGGAGCTGTTGTTTTTAACTTCCTGATCTAAGTAACTTCTTGCAGCTGACAAATCTTCACATTGGGAGTCTTTAGCAGTGTTTTGCTCTCAGACTTAGGGAAAGGACACTTGACTCACCTAAGCAGCCCTGTACTGCTAATTGGTATTACTTATCAGCTGCACAGAGCTGCTTTCTCATCAAAAGCTGAACACCCACAAGGGAGAAGTCTTGCTACTTTCCCCCTGCCTGCTTCTGTTAAAGATGATGTTCCCATTTTTGTTATAAATGGCTGCTAAGGCATGTGAATTCACTCCTGCTAGCAAAGGTGGACAAAAAACACAATAAATGCCGTTTCTGCTACTTAGCTCAAGCTAAAGAGCACTAGATGTACTGTTTCATTTAAATGACTATGTCTTCCCAACAAGTGAAGGACTAGTTATATATGAGTTATTAATACTGGTCCAAATATGATTGAAAACTTCTTTCATTATAAAGAAATGAAAAGCATAGAAGTAAATGAAAAGATGGTTTTCTTCTATTGCAGTCCTATGCATGTGGGAGGTAAGTTCCATTATGCTCATTGGGACTTACTCTGAGGAACATGTGAATAGCACTGCAGACTTAAAAGAAAATAACTTTATTGTGAATCAAGTTTGTACTGAGTCTGCAGCTCTAACTAAATAAAGCTGTAAAACACAAAAGTAAGATTCTAAGAAAAGCCATGCTACAGTGGCTTTGACTACAGTGGAACAAGATTTTTAGGCTAATCTTTTTTTGTTGTGCAACAGTAGCTGTTCTAATTCTTACCATGCATTTGCGGTCATCCAGCCCTGTTAAATCCTCCTCAAATTCTTTCCCTATCTCAAAATCCATGATGTAGTTTTTAAAAGTGCTTAGTGTTCTAATGATCATGTGGTCGCCATCCTGAATAATCTCTTTGTCAGGTTTGAGCATACTGGCTATTTTCCTCACAGCAATATTTACATCTGGAAGAAAGAGGAAGAAACCAAAAAAGAACAAGATTTCTGTAAAGATAGTAATACTGTAGAAGTTCTGAAGCCAGTATAGTGCTAAGTATTTTTTGGAAGTTCATTATAACTTGTTGACACCCATCCCTCCACATGGCAAGACTTGTATATTTGTTACTATGGTATCACTACAATGATTTCTAATGAAATTAATAGTTCATGTTTCACTTCTCTTGCCTTCCAATTTTCCACTGTTAACAGTGAAGCTCAATGCTAAAAATATTAAAGCCACATACATGGAAATATGTGACTTATGTGAAAAATTCTGCAGAAGAATCAGATTCATCTCAAGGCTAAAAGACACGAAGCAATAGTCATATAACAGAGGGGGAAAAGGCCCTTACCTAGTGCTTTCAAATATTCTTCAAAATTTTCATTGCTAAGCATCTTCCAGAAGCCATTGAAATCTGCAGGCATTGCTGGTTTTTGTTTCCTGGTTGAGAATCAAAGGCTGTGCAAAATGTGTTAATTTTGAACTATGTAGCGCAGTGTCTTTTGCTGAAGCAAGTTTGAACTCAAGTTTCTTTTATCTGCCCTTCCAACCATTCAGTGGTGCTGGTTCCTTTAAGCCGATTAGTGCTGGAGTTTTGCCTTTAAATCCTCCCACAAGAGCTGAACCTTTTAGTTTGCTAATGACAACAGGACAGCTTGATTTAAAAGGAATAGGTCACTGCCCTTTCCTACTGTGGCTGTAAGGTCACTGACTAGCAGGGTATTGATTTTAATGTTGTTACTGTTCCCCTTCCATATGACTGAGAAAACAGAATGGTTTCTCCTGATACATGAGCATACGCAGGTTCTAAAGATTGCCTGCAGTGGATGTACTAGGTGATTTGGCAAGAGTGGTTGCAGTGACCAATTACACTCACCAGGAGCATTTAAAATCCTTGTCCACATTGTCTTCCAAATCTGTAGTACTCACAGAGGACCACAGAAATTCTACCACTGAAAAGGATTTGCATATTCTGCTCTGAATAGTTGAGTTTGTCCTTCAAACCATGTTTCTCAACCCAGCCTTCCTCAACTAGGTGCAATCAGTGTATTGGACTGCAATGCTCATTATCGCCATCCAGCATCCACAGAGCGATGGATGCTGAAAGGAGAGCTTAACCAACTGGTTACATATGTCTGTAAAACAGCTGTCCATTATTCATTCAACATTTTGTTATTAGAGTAACACCCTATTCTGGTTATCACGCTGCATCTCCAGGACTGCACATTTTTATTCAAGACATGCTTTCAGAATACAGTCTTTTCAGACCAAGAAATAAGCAGTGCTTCACAGAAGCACATTAACTTCAATGCAAGTAAGCAAATGCCAAAAATGCACACTATATTGTACTGTATTCTTCTGCAAAAATACACAGTTGCTTGAAAGGAATCTCATCAGACTAGAAGTCTTGAAATAACAGCTTGACATTTTTGAACAAATCTATTGCAGGAACAATAGTGTTTAGTGTAGCATGAACTCAAGGTTAAATTAATTGAGTTATCTAATCCAAAACACAGGACAGTTATGTAATGCTAACACAACCTGACAATAAGCCAAAGTGGGTTGGTTGTTGTGTGAACCCACAGCAAACCTGACAGATGATGGGGCTGACTTCAGGTTGATGGCCCCCTACTCACCTCTCAATCCTCTCACAAGGGGACCTTGCAGGTAGAATGAATCTTTTCCTCCCACCAATTCAGATTTGTGGTTATGGAATTTCTTAGATCCATTGACGTTCTTGTTACATGTTGCATACAAGTATGTGAGCATCTAAAACATTTAATTAAATAAATCACCGCTCAGTGGAACTGAGTGTCTCATGCAATGTATTTTGTCAGTGTTATATTTATACCCCACCTTTTCTCCTCTTGCAAAGAACCCAAGGTGACTTACATAGGTTTTCTTCTCTCATTCTCTTGTGAGGGAGGTTAGGCTGAGAGTCAATGACTGGCTGAAAGTCATCCAATGAGCTTGAAGGATGAATAAGGACTAGAACCCAGATTTCCCAAGTCCCAGCCCAACACTTAGTCACTGGGCCACACAGGCTCTTGGAGGAAATGGTTTCTTGAAGGCAAACGCAGTCAATGCAATTGACAGATCTACATTGATGTAAACCTGTGTGGCAAATACCATGTTTGAATGCTGCTCTAGTCATTTATATAAATTGCGTGATTTCTGAATGTGATGTATGATGGTGAAATAATGGCTTCCATTAAGAAAGCACAAAAGGATATACTAGCATCTCTTCATAATCTGCTAGTAGTTAGGGACTGCAGAATGGTAGCCCCCAACAAATGGAATATAGCTTTCATTCAGAGTTAGCCTTTGCTTCATAAAGGAGGATATCCCATGTTATTACTGATATTTGATTGATATTGCAGTCAATAATGTGAATAGGGTACTCATATTGTTGGAGATGTTCTTTAAATACATTACATTTTAAGAGACATTGCCTTCCTTATTGCAAAACATGTTTTCCTAACAGCAAACTATATATGTATTCATTAGATGGATTGGATGACATGACTCATAGTCCTGTGAGAATCCATAAGCCTACATTAAAATGTGATGATTTAATGGTTTTCAATGGTTAAGAAGACCTCTGAAGGGTAATTTTGGTTTTCAATTGTGGTGTTGCTGGTAAATTTAATCATCGTGTGCATAGTGTTCATAAACTTAATAAAATTCTCCAAGTTCATTCCATAGTCCAGGATAGCAAAAATCACATCTATCTGTCACCATATTCTCAGGTGGGTGGAAGTTCTGCTAGTAGTTTCTTGGGGTTATCCCAGAAATTGGTTATAAAACATGTATGATGGAGCTATACATATACCTACTGTAAATAGTGATTGCCATTGAGTATGTAATCATTGCAAGTGAGTTTACAGAATGAAATTGAGTAATAGTATTGTTGCATCAAACAGGTTGTCCTGGGCCATTGTTTTTATGGATCTTTGGTAAAATCTTCCTGTAGGGGAGAAGTCAATTAAAAGTCAGTGATTTCTCCAATAAGTTTTCATGCAGATATACTGTATATTGCCAATATTTTTATTTACAACCACTTTGGTATCATGATAAATTTGTACATCTTTTAGTTGTTTTGGATCTTAGAAATGTAATCCCCAGTCTTCAGCCAAGCAACAGCTACTCCTTTATCAGCTCATTGTAGGGTCCTTTGTAATTTGAAGTTAATTGAGTCTCTCTTCTTTTGATAAACTGTTAAAGACACATTCAGGTTTGTGTTCATGAAGTAGTTTTTAACTGATTGACAAAAGGCTTCTAACACTGAATTTGGTGTTCTGGTGTCCAGACTTTTGTATTCATTTTGGGGAAGAAAGGTGCTGCAAGACAAGTGGCTGAGTTTTGTTTTCATTATGTGTTTGTGTGCATGTATGTATTTATGTATGTATGTAAACACTGCTCTGTTAAGAAGTTCAGAGAAACATATGTAGTTCTCTCTTGTATTTCATCCTTGCAACACTTTAAGGCAGGTTAGGCTGAGGGCAAGTGTGAATGCTCGGTGAAGTGTCCATTCCCCAAGTGAATTGCAAAACTGAACAAGGACTGCAATCTAGACTTCCCTTGTCAGAGTGCAACATTTTATCTACTAAAGCTCCACCTGAAAATTTAGTAACAAGGAACCAACCTCTTCTCGTTTTGTCACATTTTCAATTTTCTTGGGTGTTTTTTCAGTCCCCCTCCTTTCAAATAGGATAGTTACTTATATGATTTGTATCCTGCCTTTCCAGCAAGAAAAGGTGCTCAAGGTCAAGAACACAAGAATGTTTGAGAATGTCACTGTTATAATTGCTCATCCTGAAAAGTTACAAAGGAAAGGTTTTTGCAACAGAGTTTGAAGCAGGGGTGGGAGATGATCTTTTTATGAAAAAGTTATATTCAGTTTATATATTGCATTTAAACAACATATAAAATAGATGTCTTAGGAGGATACAAACAAAGCCACATTTCTTCCAACATGCATTGTATTCTTCCACCAGTAAATTATTACAGAATCATTATGAAATTAGCATTCTTCATATGTCTGACTAGTATTTTTATATTCCCACAAGAATTTGGTTGGAGGCACTGTAAATAACTCTTAGGATGCTAACCAGAAACTCAACTAGAAAAATGAAAAGAAAAAAGAAAGGTGCCAACTAATGTCAAATGAGTGAAACATATACGGACCGTACTCCTCTAAGGTGTTGCTTGGAAGATAATGAAACTTACAACCATCCTTTGGACTGTTTGGTGAAGACATATACTAGATCTTTTGTCCATTTTATGTTAAGAGTAAGCAACAGGGTTATCAGTCCATTAAGGGGAGGGTGGCATGAGTTCCTGTAAACCCAATGCTGACAAGTGGAATTATTCTTTATATTCTTATATGAGAGTAATCATTTTGCACTAAGGCAGATGTGCTTTAAGTGTGATAATACTGTGATATGGTAAAAAGACTACAACAATAATTCAACATGCCTTTAAATTCCATAATGAAATGTTATTAAAAGGTTTTAAAAGGTTTTCTCCCAAGCAAATCAAAATGCATATAACATTGCAATTCCAAAACACACTGGCTGTATTTGAATGATCAGTCCAAGGCTTCATGAAGCCACCACATCTTGGTTTTATTTTTCTGGTTTATAAGCTGATATTATTCCAGAGTTCCCTGGTTCAGATGGAATGGGGAACTAGTGAACAATATTTTATTTTAATGTAAATTTTAATTCTTGAGCCAGCAACTCCAGAGTGGCCAATTCCACTCCAAACCTTGCAAAGAGAAAGAGGTTGAACAAACGTTAATTTCTTCATTCATCAAGACAAAGAATGGATCCCCATAATGTGTGTAAAACTGTTTGAATACTCAAAAGACAGTTTGGAAGGCCCTACATAAATGACACTACATCTAGACATCAGATCACCACAAAGACTTTGCATTGGTATGCACAGAAATTGTTTAGCATGGATGAACTTGAAATGACTGGAGCAGAGATTACTTTTCCTTACAGATGGAGTATCTGGCTTTCCCACTTTTAAGTTCATAATTATACTAATCTGGTATAGTAGAGCCATCAGTCATTAAGAGGGCTGAGCAGAGCACCATATTGCTTAAGAGGCTGCAACAAATCTCCTTTGTTTTTTTGTTCTGTCTCTTCTGTATATACATTGTGCTGCTTAATGTAGGAAATAACCGAATCAGGAACCAGATATTTCACACTTTGGCCTCTACATAAAGCTTGCCTTATATGTGTGGCACTGATTTCATTGCGAACCCATTCTCTAACCAAATGTATATTGTCCTTGTATCTACTCAAAAGCTCCGATTCAGTAACACACTGAGAAAGATCACTGCCAGCACGACTAATGCATACCAACCCAAACTTTCCCACTATTTCTAAAATGTGTTCTTCCTTCCAGAGGTTTGGTGTTTGAAATGTCTTCAGAAAATCAGCACCACAAAGAAGTTTTAGCTCCGGCACAACTGTAGAAATATAACAAACACTGCTTATGTCATTGTCTTGTGCTTCAACATCAACAGCTAATTCTTTACTTGCTTTTGTAGTTTCTAGGCGTGCACACACAACGCACTCATGCATACCCACAACCTAACTGGCAATATAGTCCTTCCCCAAATGTATTATTTAAATGTAGGATCATTTACAAAATATGCATATTTTAACTTCATTTATACTCTAAGATACGTAACAGTTTTAACATGCAATCAAAACATCGACTGCACACCATACATGCTGCTGCTTTTACATATGCTACTAGATACAGGAAACTATGAAATGAGATATAGGATTGTAAAATAAGTTTCATCTTCTATTGCTACAATTACTGTCCCTGTTTCAATTTCTTGTTTTCCTATTTATTATTCCCTTCAAGGCACACTTAACTGGGAGGAAGTTCCATTAAACCCAGTAAGACTTTGGAGTAAATCTTCATAGGCTTACATTGCTCATGAGATATTTATCCATGTCTCAGTCCCAAGACAACATTACAATATTTAGGCAATAGCCTAGAGCTGGGATGAAGAGGCAGGAAATAACTTTTTTGGATAGTGGGGGTAGGCAGGTTAGCTATGCTTAAATACAATAAGACAGATGAATAGCCTAGCACTGAAAAGAAAGAATGAGCACTACTCCAGGAGTAAAAGGTTCATGAAACAACAGTAGAACACTGCCATGAAGAAACAATCATTCTCCTGCTCTAGAAGGAGTTCCCTATAGGTTAGGTTCATAGCTTGGGCAGTGCTCTTGGAACAAGTGGCTGCAGAATTGAGAAGTGTGTTTGTGTAGTTTCATCTAACTATAAATCCTGTGTTGCTCAGTTCTCCATATTCTGAAAAAATAGGTGCAAAACTAGAAGGATTTTTAGGAAACGGTATCTAATGATGGCTGTTATCTTGTTCTCAGTTAAGCATTCCAGTCCTAAGGAATTCAGTGGGACTAAGCATAGTTGGAAAGGGTCCAATTTATAGTTTAAAAATAAACAGCACAGTTGAAGCTGATTGCTCTTTTTTCAAGATGCTTCCTTTAAAAAAACCTAAGCTAATCAAGAGCATTACTATTGTAGTAATAATTATAAAGCATCAAATGCATGATAATATATATTCTGAAGCTTTTTATGAAGATCTGTATAGCAGGGTTCATCTGAATAAATGTACGAGCAGTGCTCTCTGACAAGTGGTATCAAATGACATGGCCAGTCTGTAGATAGAAAACACCATCATCCATCCATCTTGATTGTTAAAAAAATGAAATGAACATAAGAATAAGGTGCTTTGTTTTTTTTTTCCTTTTTAAAGAATGAAGTCTTGAAATGATGAAACCGGAACTGAGCAACTAAATTGGTTTTTAAAGAAGGCTGCTGATAGAATCAAGTCCAGAGGGAAGAAGATGGAGAATATAATGTCTTTGGACTGTTGAGGGCTACTGTTAAATAATGATCTTGTACTTTCACAAGTGATAATGGCTTTTTTAAAGTAAAATGCCTATAATATTGTTCCAGTTCTTTTGCCTGTATTTTTTAAAGTTTTTAAAAAATATCTGAATCAATAGTGGTGGCAAGAAAGTTATTATAATACTCTGTAAGACCTTTTCAGGAAGGAAAACAAAGCTTAGCCAAAGGAGAAACCACCACCTGTATAAAGGAAGCAGCTGGATTTAACAGCCAGCAAGATCTCATTAAGAGACAAAGCTCTCCAACCAAAATAGGTAAGAAATCAACAATGTTATTTGCCCACGTTCAATTTGAAATGAAATAAAGATCAAGTGCCCTTTATAAAAAGGAAGAAAACCCTACTATGCATATGATGCTAAATTTGGTGACCCTTATCAGAAATGTGAAGACCTATTAAAATAAGTCTCATAGAAGCTGGAAGAGTAATAAAACTGACTGGTAAGCCTTGTAAATAGAGGAGCTTTCAAAATAAAACAGCAAATAACAGAGGCTTCCAAAATGGCAGACAGGTATTATATTAGCAAAAAAGTAGAGATGCTGGCACTGTTCTCCAAATACAGGCTCAGAACAGAATTTGGTGGCCCATTAAAGCCCTCCTTAAAGGCAAATTAAGCTTTACAAAGCCCCCAAATTTATCTCAGACTGAAAACTGAGTAGAAAAGAATTGCAGTATCCCAGCTCACAAAATGTTGCATGGCCTGGAGAGAAAGCTCTCGCAGCTTAGCAAAGCCTTTTTGTAAGCCATGGACTGTCCTGCCTGACCTGAGACCTCCAGTGAGGGTCTCTAAGCCTGGGCTGGCCCTATTTAGCAGCTACAGATGACACAGAGCTCTTAGTGCATAGAATCTCCAGCTTTCAATGCAGCCAGTCCACATGACCAAGTGGTGGAAGTGTAACTTCGTTTTATCATTCCATTGGGAGATTTCAGGGATTAAGAGATGGGTTGGTTTAGTCAGCCATAGAATAGATCAGAAAAATTAGGTCAACAATTTCCACATTTGGGGGGAGGGGAAGTTTCAGAAAATTCTTAAATTAATCCAAGATAGGAATGCTTGTCTTTCTGTTTAAGTATTTTTGAATCACAACAGCAAGAAATATAATTTAGAAATAGGAATGGTGCAGGTTGTGGAAATGTTTATCATTAGGCAAGCCTGCCAATAAAAATACCAAGCTAGGGATAACTAATTTGAGATCATTTACAGCTAGCAGGTGGCAGCAGAATATCTGTTAAGGTCTTGGCTACATATCACTGAAAAGAAATTGATGGCTCACTTCACATAAATTCTGGGTAGAGAGAGCACAACGAAGGAAGAATAGTAAAATATTAAAAAAGGAGGTTGTGGGTTAATTAGGACAGTAGTACAAAGCATAGTAATGGGTAGTATCCCAAGCTGCTTTTGCACTAATGGAAAGTACAACTGCCATTTCCTAGAGCAACCAGAAACTAACATTTCTGGAATAAACATGTCAGCAGAACTCAGAAAAGGGACAGTACAACCTAATGACTGCTGATTGGTGGCCAACTTTAATTAATTAATTAGTTTATTTATTCATTACACCTACGCACTGTCCATAACCCAAGCACTCTCTGGGTTAAACAATTAACAGTAAAACAATTATAAAATAGAAATTAAAACAATACAACCAATTAAAAAAACAGAAATCCATTAAAAAATGCAAAGTTTAACAAGCTGCCAAAATGGCAAGAGGCAACACAGTGATAAGGTTAAGACAGTAATGAAAACCCATTAGCTATTAAAACACTTAAATAAGAATGTCTTTACCCGGCAGGCCAAATGCTGCCCTAAATGTAGCCATCCCTGTGATCCATACCATTTTCCATACATTCAAAGAAGGTAGACTCCACAGCCAACCAAATGCATTCCTCAGTCCCCATGTGCACAGTTTTGGCACAGCTGTACACACATGCTATTCAGCTATTATTAGTCATTTGTTTGCAGGCCCTGGTGGAGGGAGAGTGGCACTGCAGTGGCAGGCTCTGTCCTGAGACACATGCATCCTCGTTAGAACCTGTGATGTGTATATAGCTAAACACAAATAAATCTTTGTGCTTGATAGTATATCCTGCAAAGGCAGAGTTCTCAGTTGCCCAAAGAGAGCTCTCTATGTGTACAGTAACAAGTGTGATGGACCTAGGACTCCCTACAGAGTCTGTCACTGCGATGGCAACTCCCTTCTGTTCACACACGAACACCAGAAAAAGATAACATCAATTTATAGCTGCACCCCTTTCAGCAGTAGAGTTTTATATGCTTTGATCATGAACTGCAGCATCCAAAACCATGAATGTTCAACTTTCCCACTTAAGCATAGCTGTTAATCTGTCCAAAGTGTAAGGCTTTATCACTTACACAAGAAACACTACTTACAGCATGAACAAACCTGTGAGTGATGAAGCAAATGATGGCTTGGCAGCTTTTTCTATGGGCCAATTGTTCTCCCCAGGCAGTTCTCTGATATGGTGTGATTTAAGCAGTTCTTTGTAATGGTGCCTATGTTCAAATAAAGGACTCTGTGTAAGGTAATCCTCTCAGAGATATACAAAGCGATTAACTTGCACTTTCAGTTTCTAAAACTCAGTCGGCTTTTGTGCACTTCAGGGTTTAATTAGTTGGTTGAGGAATTTGCAATATTAATTCTGTACAAGATTTGTGTCACTTGTGATTCACGTTTGTGTCCAACTTGAACATCTTCTATATACCATTATTTTGTTTTTATTATACTTTTATTTCTATAGGAGACATAATGGATGTAAACTGGTTTCTTCTGTTGGACTAGTTTCTTTCTACTTTATTACACAATGAAGTGTAATAAACATTTTGAGCTTTTACATAAGTTACAATGCAATCACATTAAAAAACTAGAACCAACAAAGAAAAAAAAGGTGGGGAATACAGAAAGAAAAGTCCTTGGATATGATCAAAAGCACTTATTTAAGCATTTCCAGTGGATATTTTGAAACCTTTTTCTCTTCAATGGGAGAAGCCTATGGTATATAACAAACTGGTCTTGAAACATCTTACCTTTTCAAAAGGTTTTCATATATTGTTTGAGAAAGCTCAAGTCCAAAGCTCCTTTTGAAATGTGGAATTTCAAACACAGTTATTTGGAATCAAGCAAAAAAAAAAAAATGCAAGAACCTTCTAAGGGTGAGAATATAGAAAGCTGAAGATCTTTCCATAGAGCAAGGTGACTCACCTGACCTGCTTTTTTGCCTGCTTGTGAGCTTCCTTGCTGACATAACTGGCCCCTCTCTAGTTTTGTTCTTTTTGTAAGATGAATCCTTACCTCATGCTCTCCTGTGCCTGTCTTGCTGAGAAATATTTTGGGGCTGTGTCCAGACAAATCCAAATTTATGTTAGTGTCATAATGCAGTCCCCATGGTGAAATTGCAGGAGCAGATGTTTTGTTGAACTGGAACCTAGACCAGAGGTGGGCAGCTTGTAGGCTTTGAGATATTTTAGCCTAGATTTCCCATCATCCGTCATCATTGGCTATTCTGGCTAGGGCTGGTAGGTTGCCCAGCCCCAAATCTATGTCACAAGTCTGTGCTCTTAAATAAAAACATGAACACAGTCTGAATTCCCTGTTCTACAGATGGCCTAATGTAAGAGATTCAAGGGAAGAACAACATGAGCTGCAAGTGATGTGGAAGGCCCATTTAGAGGCCTATAGCGATCTACAGCATGCTAGAGCCTTCTTATAAGCATTCTCAAGTGAAATACATGCATAGGAAGCAATGTGGTGGTGGCTGCTTAAAAGGCTTTACCATGAGAAGTCAAAGATTTCTCTTGCTGGAGGAATTATCAATAGCTTTTTCTGCCAAAAAACCCCAACATTGAATGAGATATGAAAAAAACTGGAATAATATGGGGAAAATCTATCTTTTTTCTGGGGAGTAAAAATACCCTGGAAAAAACGGTTTGGTTAATTTTCCAGTCCTTTTTTGGATATTCGCATCCCTATTTAAACTGTAATGCTACACATACTTACCTGGAAATAAGCCCCAATAAACTCAGTGGGGCTAACTTCTAGGTAGACATATATATGGATGACGTTGTGCATTATTCAGCATTTATATAATCAAAAACTGAAATGCTGAACAATGCTAAAAACTAAAACACACACCAGCTTTGAGAAAAGCAGGTTGCTTACCTGTAACTGATGTTCTTCAAGTGGTCATCTGTGCATCACACATATGGGTGCTGCGCCTGCGCAGTGCCTAGGCCGGAAGATTAGAAAGATAATGGTTTTTGGCGGGAAAAAGCTCCACTCCCTCCCCCCACAGTATAAATAGAGCGGAGTGTCCGCCATTTTACTCAGTCTTGAAGACCGACGTTTGCCCCCTAGTAGAAAATGACAGTACTATAGCAAGCCACATCGGTACCGTAAGATTAGTACGGAACCGATATAAAAGAACAAGTCCACTCACCGACACCATGCGGGGCCGGCGGGTGGGTTGTGTGAATGCACAGATGGCCACTCGAAGAACATCAGTTACAGGTAAGGAACCTGCTTTTCTTCGTCGTGGCCTCTGTGCATCACACATATGGGTGATTAGCAAACTTACCAGACTCGGAGGAGGGAGGTGTCATCACTGAAGAATGGCAGAGAGCACCGCTCTGCCAAAGGAACAGTCCTGTCTGGCGCACACATCAAGCTGATAATGCTTGGCAAAAATACACGGAGCAGCCCAGGTCACGGCTCTGCAAATATCTTGAAGTGGAACACCTGCCGCAAAAGCTGACGAAGTCGCTACTGCTCGTGTAGAATGGCCCCTCGGAAGTGTAGGTAGTCCATCCGAGCCAACTGGTAGGCCAACACAATGGTCTGCACAATCCATTTAGATAATCGCTGAGATGAGACTGAAGAGCCTTTGTCATTATCAGCATATTTAATGAAAAGTCTGTTAGAATTCCAAAAGGATTCTGTACGAGATCTGTAAAAAGCAAGGCAGCGCCAAACATCAAGTGTATGGAGAGAGCGCTCAATCGGAGTCGATGGAGATGGAAAGAATGCAGGCAATGTGATGTCCTGATTCAAATGAAACAATGTAGCCACTTTAGGAAGAAATGTTGAGTCCATTCGAAGAACCACCTTTTCTTTGTGGAAGTTCAAACATGGTGGGTCTATGTGTAGAGCGCAAAGCTCATTGGCCCTTCTGGCTGAAGTAACTGCAACAAGGAAGGCAGTTTTCCATGATACAAGATGTAGATCCACCGTCGCCAGAGGTTCAAAGGGTGGCTTTGTTAGCACTTGGAGTACAACAGAAAGGCTCCAAGTCAGCATGACCGGGCGAATTGACGGGTGTAGATTCTGTAGTCCTCTAAGAAAACAACGAATCAAAGGTTGAGAAAAAACCAATAAGCCTTGTATGGTACCACGGAAATGTGAGATACCAGCCGTGTAAACCTGTATAGACGAAGGCTTAAGTCCCAAACGGTGAAGTTCGAAGAGAAATTGCAAAACGTTCTCAATGGATGCCGATTCCGGAGAAAAGGAATGACGGTTGGCAAAGGAGGAAAATCTTTTCCATTTAGCTAAGTAAGTCAGGCATGTAGAAGGTCTTAGTGCAGGTTTGAGAATCGCTCTGATATCAGGATGTAAAAACGTCGAATCCGAGACAAGTACTGTCGATCCCGAAGGAGGAGTCGGTCGCGTATGCAGGAGAGGATTCAGTGAATCGAGATGGTAATGGAACCGATAGAGAGACCGAATATAGCGAATACTCCACGCTGTCAGTTTGAGAGAGGCTAGGTCTGGGTGTTGGATTGCTCCGTTGCACTGCATCAATAGGTGAGGGACCGGTGGAAGTCGACGGAAAACACCTTTGGACTGAAGGAGGAGAGCAGTGAACCAGGGTTGCCTTGGCCACCATGGGGCTATCAAAATTCCTGTAGCATTGTCCTGGACAATCTTTGATACCACCTTCATCAGAAGGAAATCGGAAGAAACGCATAGAAAAACAGGTTGCTCCAATCGATCATGAGAGCATCTCCCCTCAAGTTCTGTCCGATACCCGCTCTGGAGCAAAACAGTTCGCATACCCTGTTTGTTCGGATAGTGAACAAGTCTATGTCTGGGTATCCCCACAACTGGAATAGTTCGGTGCAAATCGTCCGGTCCAACTCCCACTCGTGGGTCATTGACATCTGCCTGCTCAGTGTAACCGCTTCTATGTTGTCGGTCCCTGCAAGGTGCACCGCCAGTAGCATTATGTCCCGTGGGATGCACCAATCCCAGATCTGCATTGACAATCGGGCCAAGAGCGGAGACCTCATTCCGCCTTGCTTGTTGGCATAGAAGACTGCAGCCATGTTGTTGGATGCAACATGCACAACTTGGCTGTGTATAACAGTTTCGAAGGATTTGAGAGCATTGAAAATTGCCAGAAGTTCGAGGAAATTGATGTGCCTCCCCGCTTCCTGTCGGTTCCAAGCTCCTTGGACCCGAAGTCCTGCATATGCCACACCCCATCCAATGAGGGATGCGTCGGTGTACAATGTCACAATTGGATGGGGCTGACAGAATGGAACGCCCATCGACAGGTTGCGTGTAAAAGTCCACCATATCAGGGAGTGAAGGATCGAGGATGGAATCTGAAGAAGCCTGGTTTGTAGATCCCATTGTGAATGAAACGATCTGTTGCAGAACAGTTGAAGCAGCTGAAGTCTGAGTCTTGCGTAAGGCACAACTGCCACCGAGGCCGCCATGTGCCCCAATAGTCTTTGTACAGTGACGGCCTGCACTGTCCTTAGTCGTCGGATCCGATGGATGTGGGCACACAGCGTGGCTCCGTGGGATGGAGGAAGAAACACTCTTTGTAGAATGGAGTCAATACGTGCTCTGATGAAATCAATGACCTGTGTTGGGATAAGTGACGATTTCTTAAGATTAATGCATAGTCCAAGGTTATCAAGCAAAGTACAAGTCGCATGGACAGCCGCAAGGAGGTTGGCCTTAGTCTGTGACACAATGAGCCAATCATCTAGGTAGGGGTAGACTTGTATACCCTGAAGCCGTAGGTGGGCACATACTGGGGCCATGCATTTTGTGAAGATCCTCGGTGCCATAGCTAGGCCGAACGGGAGCACATTGAATTCGAAAATATCGGATCCAACAGTAAATCGCAGGAAGCGTCTATGGGAAGGATGAATAGAGATATGAAAATAAGCATCCTTCAAGTCCAATGAGGCAAACCAATCCCCTTTTTCCAGCAACGGAAGGATATTCTGTAAGGTGGTCATCCAGAACGTCTTTGGTTTAATGTATCTGTTGACATTCCGGAGATCCAGGCTAGGTTGAAGACCACCGTCCCATTTGGGGACCGTAAAATATCGGGAGTAGAATCCGTGAAGCCCATCAGTGTGGGAAAGTTGTCAAATCGCATCTTTACGAAGAAGTTGGTAGATCTTATCGCACAGAACCGAAGATGGTGGCGTAAATCGGATAGGGCTCGATGGTGGAACGACGTCGAATTCTATTCTATATC